TGTTACAGTTCTGGTCTGTAGTGTTGTTTAAAGTGTTTCTGAAAGTGATCAGTATTCAGTAGTTAAGGCTCAAAGGTGTAATTTAAGCGAAGGTCAAATGTGGTGAATAATCGGCAGAATCAAGGGATGTCAAACACAAATGAAGGTCGTCTAAGATTTGAATATCCCTCAAAGTGTCATATAAAGAGTTTGGAGCCATTTTTTTATGCTTTGGATCAGTTGATAGATGGCCTGGTTTAGGGAGAACAAGAGCAACAACTGAATCAGAAGACCATTTTCTATCATTTTTGCCTCAAAGAAACTATGAAGCGACTACAAGAGGTTTGGTTTTACACCTTCAGGCTGCCGCAGAAACTTAAATTAGCCATTCTACTGCTGCACAAAGGCTGAAAGAGGTTGTACTCTATGTGAGAAAAAACCAATGGTGTTTTTTTTTTTTTTTTTTTTTTTTTTTTTTTTTTGGTCCCACACACTCCAGCTGGCCTAGAATATTTTTTGTGATATCTGTGAGAATGTATATATATGTGCATATTAAAATATGTCAAAGAAATTAAGGCAATATATCAAAAGTACACAAATCCAGGTATGTAATACCAGGAGAGTTTTTACATTAAAACCAAAAAAATAATTTGTTCTCATAGTAGTTTTAGGAAATTTGTGCTTCTTGGCGAAAACCCTGGCCGCTCAGAGGGTTAAACTAGTGCCTTCATCATGTCTATGGAGCCAAGACAACTGGGCCTGAGTATTGTTTACTGACAAGTCCAGTTATAATCTGACTAGGGATTTTAGATGTGTTTTGATCTGGAGAGAGGAAGGAACATGCAATTTACCTTCCCTTGTCTGTGAAATATCCTGTTTCTACAACCGCCTTGTAATGGTTTGGGGAGGAATTATGACGAATTGCTCAAACACAAGATATGGTTGCCACTTTACTCACTTGACGTGACCTGATTGAGTATGTGTGGGTGCCTTAGAGCCCTGAATTTCAGCATGTCAAATTCCTGTCTGGACCCTCCAGCAACTGAAAGTACACTTTTAGAAGAGTGGCATGCAATTTTACAAGACTGATCAACATTTTGATAAAGTCTGTGAAATCAAGATGTCAGGTATGCACATGGCCCACCAGCAGCTGAGCGGTAAAGTCACTGAACACTGGTAGTTTGGTCCGAGGTTCGAATCCCGCGAACAGGTTGGCTGCATTTGCATTTTCGTGGTTTTCCTCATGTGTAATGTGTATACGAGCCAGTTTTCCTTAGAAAATCCTCCACGAAGGCATCCTTTCCCTTAGGCAGATAGGCCTAGTGTGCTTTGCCATAATTAAATAAACCAAACCAGGTATGCACATGTGTCTAATATGACCAGCGGTAAAGTTGCTGAACACTGGTAGTCTGTCCGAAGTTCGAATCCCGCGAACATGCTGGCTGCATGGGCGTTTTCGTGGTTTTCCCCATGTGTAACGTGTATACGAGCCAGTTTCCCTTAGAAAGTCCTCCACGAAGGCATCCCTTCCCTTAGACAGATAGTCCTAGTGTGCTTTGCCATACTTAAATAAACCAAATCAGGTATGCACATGTGTCTAATATGACCACCATATTAAAGAAAAAATTTTTTCACAAGAGGTGACTTCATTTTACAATTTCCATAAATTTGATTTTAATTTCTATATTTTGCAAATAATCATCTTTCCAAAATTGTAATTTATGTTAATTAATGCTTTTGTACAAATTTCTCTCAATTTTTCATTAAGTATCGGTTATGTTTTATTTCTGTCATTGTCCTTTAATTATGATGACCAATGTATATTGTTTCAAATGGCCAGGCACTTGCAGCTTAATACATTCATCGGAAATGGACAACATCGATCGGTCACTTGGTCATTTTTATTTTATTCCCTTTTTTAATTATTATTAATTTTTTTTTTGTTCTGTTGGGGGATCTGAGTGAAGGAAAATTTTTAATCTTCTTAAATATATTAGTTTGGCACTATATAGTTTCTTATGCTGTTCAGCAACAGTGTGTAATGCATAATCCAGTAAAAGGGCAAATGTTCCAGTCTCAAGATTCCAAACCATTTATTGTCGAACAACCAATACAGTTATCTACTATGGTGGCTTTCTTATATTTATGACTTATCTATTCAAGTACTGAAACCATTCCTAAAAATTGTTTTCCACAATTCTATGTATTTTGATGGGTTATTAGTAAGATTTTTAAATGCTTTTTAGCACTTTGTAGATATCTGAATTTGCCAATCATTAAATATGAAAGTTATTCACCCATATGTAGTATACCATACTTATATATTACCATACTTATATATATCACCCATACTTATATATTAGTACAAGTTACAAAATTTTTTGAGTTCATCAAAATCTGGCATCTGTGAGTATAATAATTCTTCAGTTTTAAGAAATAATGTCACCATTTTCATATATATTAATTTCGTTTTGTTCCAAGTTTCAACAATTTTATAGGCAAATTATGGTATTTTTTGTTTTAAATTTAAAATATATGCTTGTGGGATTTGCCAGTGTGGGAAAGAATTGTAATATTTTATCACAAACTTGTTAAAGGGAACAAATAAGTGCTTTGAAACAGAATAAAACCAGAATAAAAACAAAAACCTACTTGTAAATAGATTTAATGATTGATTTTTTAGATAAATGCCTAATGAAATGTGTATTTATGTAATAATTTTTTTCCTAAGTCATGATTCCTTTTGTGAATTCCTGAACTATGCCTAGGTGGTTGTGCTAATATAGTGATGCCTTTCTATACAGGTTTGTGGATTTGGAGTGATTAATGATGACACTTGTTGAAGTATCAAAACACAATTTATTTAGCCACTATTATTCAGGACAGTTTCAAAATCAAGTTTACAGTTGTCGAAAAATTATTATAACAACGCTGAAAAATTCAGCAACACAAGCTATATCAGTGAAGACATAGCAAAGCACCAGATTACAGCTTCTGACTCGTTTCAGTCGTTCTAGGAACTCAACGTACTCTCAATACTCCAGCCTTCAGGCTGTCAGGCTATAACCATGAAGACAGCTTCACAGCAAAGCACCAGACTACAGCTCTCGACTCTGTTCGGTCGTTCTCGGAACTCAACATACTCTCGAGACTCTCCACGCTACAGTTCTCGATGCAGTTGATGATACACTCATTAGACTCAGTGATGCACTTGCTAGACTCGCAATACTCTCAACGACCAACTCGACACTAGACTGACGATCACCTCTTTAGACGAGGCACTGATTAACTCACTGCATACAGGCAGAGTTATATAGCTTTTGGGCTGCCTTCGAGAACATTCTGGTCCAAACCAGTAAGAATTCGTTCTAGAAGGTTCTCCATCTGTCTATGGCATATTGCCAATTTTTATTGCCAAATGGGCAATGTCTCGCCAAATATGGCAACCATGCCTTCCCTTTGCATTTTATGACAACCCTAAACTCACCTTGCGGGGAGCTATCTTACCATGGCTGGACATTTCATAACAATAAAATTACCCAGTATACTGCCATGTAGAACTGTCACTCATTGCATAGATTTCTGTTCTCCACTTTTAGTTTGGATTTGAAAAACTTAAGAAGATCAAGTCTCACTTTGAAAGACAGTTCAGTCTAGTCTGCATTACATAGTTCTGGGACATAGTTGCCAATTCTCAGTTTGTTCTTTTTTCCATGCATCAGTTTTTTTCTTGGTTGATGGAATCACTTTTTTCTCAAGCTTCCAAAAATAAAGTCTGTATCTCTAAACTTAAAGAAGCTGTTTCTAATTCCAACTGAAGAAGAATTTTCAGCTTCAGGACTTAAAGAAGCTCTTTCTAATGTCATTTCGTGAATGCTAATTTTTTTCCCTCTTTAAATAAATTTTTTGTTTTAAGTAAACTTCTATCAGAGTGTCCCCCCAGCTTTTCATTTAATGCATGATTACCTAATTCTGTATGCTTCAAAATCAAATCTCATTTTTTAGCAATTGGAAAGATTGTGCTTTTTAGAATGCTGAATATGTTAGTAATTTATGATTTATACATTACTTTTTGGTCAATTTTTGTCATAATTTTTATTTTTTTTTATGTAAAGGTATCATGTTATGTCTATCAGAAGCAGCTATACATGCAGTTATAAAGATGCAGCTGCTTTATGATTGAGTTTCACTGTTAGGCTAAGTTCAGATGTTTGCTACCAAAATGAAAGTAAATGCTCGTTGGATGACATTCATGATATTCAGTACCATGCTATTCTGTATAGAAATCAGTCTTACTAATGTTTCCTTTCAAGAACTGAATTCCATGCTCACTCACAGCGAGAATTTCATTATATCTGACTCCTAGTACATGTATGCCAAATTTGGCTTACAATAAGATGTAAGCATGTTTAGGGTGTATAAGTTTTTGGTGAAAAATCAGGAGAAGAGTTGAATTTGGATGCTATATTAGAGTAAGTGAAAGATTATTTATATAGAGTTTAAAAATAACATAAGTTAGGAGACCTTTGAGACTTGGCATCAGTCATAGTAAGTGAATTGCTAAAAATTAATTGGAAACAGGGTCATTATAGCATAGGTAGAACTCTTATGTATTATTACTTTTGAAGTCAAACCACAAAAATCAGTGTTATATTTTCAAATTTTCACAGGACTAGTTTCGATGGTTTTACTGAACCATCATACTCAGCTGCAAAAGCACCAACTCTAAAATTATGTTTAGTGTTGGTGAAACATTAATTGGAAATGTTATTTTCAGATACCTCTTCCTACTCTGACTGTTTAAAAGTATTTTAATCATGATTAATTAGTAAAAATTGGGGGGGTAGAGAAGGGTAATATTCTCAATTGTGAATATTTGTAATTATTAACTGCGTTTATATATATATATATATATATATATATATATATATATATTGCGATTACCATTTTCTTGGTGTTTAATATTGTAGAATATTATATTACTTATGTATATAAAATAATTTTTATTTTTATTTTTAAAGATATATTTCCATTTGGAAGAATTGCCCTTTGACTTCTGAATAATGATATCTCCTATGGCTGATATAGAGACAGATATTTTGAGCTCTAACAGAGCTCGCCAAGGATGGTTAGATGGAAAATCACAAAAAATTGAGCAGCAGTTTTATAGAGCTATGAAATCAAATTATGATGAAAAGGAAAAATGTGGCAAGCAGCCTAGTAAGGGCAAAAATGAAAATTTAAGACCTATGGGAACAAAGGTGAGCACAATTGCTCATATGTTTCAAACATTATCACAGCAAAATGTTGACAGTTCTTCATTACGATCTCCTGTCAGCAAGGATACTTGTAATTTTGATCGTACCCAGTCACCAGAGTCTTGTAAGCCAGAAAGGTCTTCATCATTGCCTGCATTTCCTACTTCTAACTGCTCCTTATCCCGTCGAGGCAGCCATTTAGCAAGATTTAATAATGCTAAAGCTATGTTTGAAAAGCTTGAAAAGAGCAGAAACAATGACTCAAAGCCTGCTATTGAAACAAAATCTCGTTCTAGCACTTTACCTGTTGGTACCACTGATAATATAAAATCAGATACAGAGCCATTTAAAAAGAACAATGACACAAAGTCAAATAAATCATATGTGGGTATTAATGTTGAAAATAAAACTTCTGCACAACACACAGACGTAAGAAATGATACATTTAGTAAAGTGACTACAGAGACATTGAGGCCAATATGTTCCAGTAATTATGCTAAGAAATCTGAAGTTTCTCAAGTATCACATGATAATAAAAATGCATATCAGAATGATGAAAAAGAGTATCAAAGATTGCTTGCTGAAAATGAAACTAATCTGGGTATTGCATCAGAGAATGGGAATACTCAGTATGTTCCCTTGTATAATGAATCAAAGAAAGATTTCAGTGATCACCCACGTGCTTCAAATATTCTTAGTAATACTGCACCTTCTGTTGATAGTGAAAAAAAATGTGAAATTCTTACTTCATCCATGTGCCATTCCTATAAAAAAATTTCAAATAATACCACAGATGAAGTGAATACAAAAAATATTTTCTTCAGTGAAAAAAAGGACAATGAGAATACTTCAGAAATTGTGAAAGACAGTCTTTCTTTTGATAATATAGTATACAGCTCATGTTCTGTTCTGAAAAAGTCAAGCCAAACAACAAGATTTTCCTCTGAGATGAAATCTTTAGTCAGTGATTTAAATGATAGATCATTTCCTAATTTAGAACATGGTATCTCTTCAGATAAAAATTTAGATTATGAAAGTTTCCAGAGTGCCTTAGAGAATTACAAAGCCTGTTGTAAATCTTCTCCTAATGAGAAAGAAACTCAGCTTGATGACTCAGTGCACAATACAACATTTGAATCTGAAAAAGAAGCTGAAAATTTAGAAGACATAAACTCGTTGCCAAAAGCAGTCACAATATCATCCACTATGGATAGAATGTCTGATGATCTTTCAACAAATATAGGTATGTTTTATCAGTCCAAAATAGATTTTTAATTCAACTGTATTAGTCTGTATTGCTTTGACTGTTAAAAATACAGTTTTTATAATTTATTACTGCTGTATATGTTAATATTTTATTCGTGATCTTTTTAAACTTAATGTTTTGTGAAGTAGTAAACTTTGAATCTTATTTTTATTGCTTGCAATTTTAAATAATAATTTTTTGATTATATAATTTCTTAATAATGAAATGTTTATGCAAAAGAGGAAAGGAGTATTACATAATATACAGTTTTAAACTCTCTCTGTATACACATGTACAATTAAATTTAGTTTAAAATAATGCATAAGAATGTAACTAACTATGCTCATTTGGTAAAATTAAGAGAGATTTTACCTTTTGTCAAATTTCAGAAAAGCTAATGGACAAATTTTAATAAAATTTAATATGAATGTATATTTATAACAGAGAAAGAGATGTACCATTCAAAAGTCATTTTGTGTCTGGGTGATTATCATTAAAGCTCGTAGTGCAGGGATGTTCTAAATCCACATTGAGATACTGAACTTAAAATGAATCTAATATAGGTCTGGCCCCCTCTCACAGTCAGATAGGTCGTGCAACGTGATGTTATACTGGACTGAGGCAGTTGAGGATTTCCTGTTGCAGAACTCTGGGATGGTTTTCAGAGAGAGATGATGAGATGAAATTTATCTACCAAGAGTATCCCAGGCATGCTGTATAGGGTTAAGGTCAGAAGATCCGGCTGGCTAATTCATGCGATGAATATTCTCACTTTCCAAGTAATTGTTGACAAGCTGAGCCATATGTGGACAAGCATTGTCATTTATTAACAGGAACTCAAGACCATCATATCAAAGACGGAGTACATCGAAATGAAGTACTACATTTAGTAAGGAATTATAAGCCGAATAAAATAAAAACATCTGCCCTGAAGATAAGGATAGTGCTGACAGATTAACTTCCAGTTCATTGCGCGCCGCGATTCCCCCCCCTTCCGCAGAGCAGCGTGAAATTGATAAACAGATTTCGGAATGGTTAGAGAAACAAAGGATATGCCTTTATCCATTTTTTTGCCGCAATTCCACTTTTTGTTTGATGCACATCGAAACATGCTTTCGCTTTGTAGATCCTTTGGCAGCTCCAGAAACAGAAATTCTTGACGTAATCAAAAGTTCAAGCTTACTTTTATAAAATTGCTCTAACAGTCTGCAAAAAATAATAAGCCAGATCCAATTAGAAGATTAAGGAACAACACAATCTGTAACATTAACTGAAATAGATAATTAGATAATTTTAGCTTAGCTTACTGTCCATTATACATTAAACAAACATGTGTAAACGTATTATGCGCATGCGTAATCACATTATGCGTTTACTCATGCGCAGAAAGTATGTAGCTTTGAGGTCCAAATTATAGATCATTCTGGATTATGGACGTCCGGATTAAAGACTTTTGACTATAGTAATTTTAGTATGTAAATTTAATATAAATAGTAATTATTTGTGAGAGTTTGCACAGAAAAATAGTTCTTAATGCTAACATATTTGAGTTTTGACATGTTCTTTTTTAATAATATTTATTTTCTATATAAATATATTTCAGATAAATTGGAACAAGTGTCTCCTCCTCTCCAGCAGTCTGACATCATATTTTCAACAAGCATAGAGACAAGGGAGGCTAGTAATTCAGCTTATAGGTCACTTTTCAAAGAACTACATAATGATTTAAGACAAAAATATGAATATGAATTGCCAGAGAAAGCAGCAGATAATAAATATAATATTACAAATGATTTTTGCCAAATATTTGAAAATGGAATTAATTCTTCTGCAGTAAATTATGATGATGACTTAAAAGAAGGCCTGAAAGAAACATTTGTAGATGATACTTCATCAGATTGCCAATATTCAGATGAATCTAGTAATCATGACTCCTATTCTATGAAAGAAACATTACAAGAACACATTAATGAGAGTTATACTGTAATTGATGAACATTTCCCTTTTAAGTCATCTGAGTGGAATAAACTGCGAGAGCACACTATATCTAATTCAGGTGGAGATAGCTATCGAGTAAGTATTTAACTACTAAAAATAAGTTGCATAAATACTGCTTATTTTTGCTATATCTTGTGAACAAAGTATTTAAAAGTATTTGAACTGATCTATTGAATTAAAAGAATATTAAAAACCCACACACATACATATAATTGAAACTGCTTAAAATTTTGACCACACATTTGTAATTTTCATAAAATTTGAACATGAATGTTTATTAAAAATACCCATACAGTACTAAAAGTAAACTGATCAGAATTTGTTTGACCATTTTTACTTTTTCTAAATTATTATGTTTGTAAAATTATCTTGAATCTACTAAGCAGTAGTGAACTGTTATTGTCATATCTATTGGGTTTGTGCTTTGAGTTGGTTGAAAGTGTAATTTAATGATGAGAGTGCATTTTAATAGGCAGATTTTGAAAGGGTTGATCGGATTATAAAACAATAATATGATATTTTTCATAAATTACCAATAATAATAAGCTTAATTATAGTTATAAAATATTTTCATTATTCTGTCACTAAATGCATATTTAATAAAATATATGTAGGAATGCAATCAAGCTAAATATGTTTTATTTTACAATAGCTGGGAAAATGTTATGTACTAACGTAGAAGTGCAGTTAATTTTTTTTTTTTTTTTTTTTTTGACATATCCAAAAAAGTTTGCTAGTGATGTTGAAACATCTGTTAACGTAGAAATTCCTTTAAAAAATTCATAAGAATGAGGATGGAGGGATGTTAGGAAAGTTTTAAAAGAAACTTTATCAAATGTTAAGAACACTTTGAAAATTCTTTTCACCTGAATGTTGCTAAATTTTTGTTGTGAAACTGTGCAAGAGAATGAAGGATATGTAGCAGTATAAAGATGCAGTGAGGTCAAATTTATCCTTTAATCACAGGCTGTCAAGTGTGCCTTTGAGTAAACCTTTTTATTTAGACATGAACTGTGCTTTTGAAGGGCATGCCTTCTTCAAAGTTGTTGAGGTGAGTGAGAGACTGAAATCTGTTACTTTAGAATAGGCTCTTAAAGGTAATTTTTTCCTCCTTGGATTGCCTCATAACCATGGTAACAGCAACTGTAAAAGACAGTCATATCCACAATTTGTTTCCCCCTCATTAAATTTTTAAACAGATAGCCCTCGAGTGCTTTGCCCTAATTTAAATAAACTAAACCCATTTAATTTCCATTTAGCATGTTTTCCTTCATGAAAATAGATGAATGAAGGCTGACTTTGAACTGTAGTCTGAAAGGAGCTGAAGAAAGTAAGAGCTGTACAATGATGATGACATGTGTTATGATTGTAAATGAGGGAGAATCAAATGACCCTTAAGTGCTGTAATAAATGTTTTGTATTCTAAGTCAACTCAACTCTGCAGGCGAAGACCAGAAATCTTCCCGAATGCTGGCAGTAACTCATCAGTGTTGATAAATTCATTAACAAGTACTTCATTTCTGCAGTGGTCAACTTTTACTTTTTGCAAAATAAATGTTAAAAGTATGTTAATGTTCAGTCAACAGAGCCTAACACTTTCACAGCAACTGGTTCTAATTATTATTATTTGGATCATTTGTAAGTTTGTTTTTATTTAACATGAATAAGCTTATCCATATTCACAGGCCAGAGAGAAAAAACATTTATTTTCAGTCATTCATGCAAAATTTAATACTTCTATATTAAGAAATACATGAAGGGAAAACATGTTATTCAGATGCTATTTATATTTGGGAATTTAAAATTATCTTTTTTTCATTTGTAAAAATAATGTTATCTCATGGAAGTAGGAAACCAAGCTGATTTATTGTTTTATGGAATAAGGAAAGGGCAAACTTAGTTATTCTTATTCAATCCGGTTTGATTAATTTGTTTCTAAAACACCAACTTTAAATCCATTTTTATCCTTATTCTTTTTTACATCATAACCATGGTAATAATTGCTGTGGAAGGCCAAGTCCTCTAATTTGCTAAAATCTCGCAATCCATTGGTACTGTGGTGGCAACATGTTATGATTGTAAATGAGGTTAGGGTCATTATGACCTTAAGTGCTTATTTTAAAGTAACAGTCTATAGTAATGACATAGTAGCAGTCAGAGGTGTGCCAACCACTTTGGGTAAATATATTTCTTTAGAAATTTCAAATTTGATTTGACTGTTAATTCAAAATAGTTTTTTCTTTATAGTGCCAAAGTGTCATTTGGAAGTATCGTTAGGATGTGGAGTTGCTGGCTATTTAGAAGCAGAGCAGATAATTATGGAAATTTTAAGATAGCACTATGTTTTGAGACAGGTAGTTTTTTCTCTCTGGAAACAACTTAAAGATACTGAAACTCTAACTAGAAAGTTGGAACAAGATTATAAATGAAAAATGACTTGATTCTTAAGATCGGCTTCTATCAATAGCTGTCCTTTGCAGGAAGAACTTGATTTTGTTGCTAATAATGGAAGTTTTATATCAGTGCAAATTGTATATACAGAGTACATAATAAGAAAGGTCTTTATTCCAGAAAGCGAATGATTTGTGTTTCACTGACTTCGTAACGAAAGAGGACTCACCAGAGCTGGTGTAGAAACTATTAGAGGTGGTGTTTACAGCAATGAATCTGTGTTCTAGTTAGTGTTGAATCAAGGTTTAGTTAATATCTGATTTTAAACATTTACCCCTGGAGTTTATTCCCTCTAAATTTAGGAAATAATATTATTATGGTAATGCATTTATGACAGTCAGTGATTTTAAACACATATTGATAGAGAATCAAAACTTAACTATCACAGATTAATTCTATTTCAGTACATTAAAGAGTGCATGAACTCTCAAATATATGCTATAGCAGAATAAAGAACATAAATGTGTAGATATATAAGCAGACATAAGTGATGAAAACTGAATTAAACCCATTAAGAAATTTAGAATTATAGAATAAAAGACTAAATTAAAAAAAGGGGGGGGTTAAAATATTAGCTTTGAGTAGGGCATTTCATTATTAACTTGACTTGTTATAGACAAAGAGTTAAAGAGAAAGCATCATATTCTGTGCTGAATGAAGTGTTTATCTTATTAAAATTTTTTAAAACATATTTAAGCACAAAACCTAATTGATTATGAAAAATTATTTTGTAGCAGGTACTATTATAAAGGTCTTAAAAAATTTTAGGGGGGGTGAGGAGAGGAATCTGTTTTTCAAAATTTACTCTGAAACTGAAATACATTCCACATGTGAAGGAGGAGAAAGTATATGGCTTATGATCGAGGAGTTAAGAAGGAAGAAACATCACTTTGATAGATCAGTTATTCTTTCATCAGACAGAAAATTGTGTTTTTCAGCCGTGTTTGAGATTACATTTTACTGTTTAATAGCCAGTAAACTTTTTATGTAAAAGTGTATTTAATACTTTATTACATGGTACACTTTTTATGTAAAAGTGTATTTAATACTTTATTACATGGTACATATCTATAGTAAGTTATTTTAGAACATGCTCTTCAAAGCCTATTTTCTGCTCTGTGTTTGCCTTCAATCATGGTAATGGCCACAGCAGAAGATAGTCCAGTCCTTTAATTTGCTAAAATTCCCTACTCTCCTTTGTGCAATGAAGATGATACATATTAGAATAGTAAGTGAGGAGAAGGTTGCTATGACCTTGAAATGAACTTGTTTTACTGAGTGAAAATACAGGAATGAAAGCTGACTTTGAACTATAAAGAAAGAACTATAGTCTGAATGAAGCTGTTGAAATTAATTGTGGTATGGTGATAATGATATGCGTTATAATACTTAAGATCATAAATATAAAGTAATGGATATTTCCATCAATCTGAATATTTTTTTAACATGCAAATATTGAAATTTATTACTTTAACTCATGTTCAGGTGCCATTTCTTTCTTCCTAAATTGTTAAAGGTAACAATTAAGCTTTTGTTCATATTCAGTTCAATAAAAACAAAGTTCATTAGATTTACTTATTTGTTTGTATTATTATTTTTAATTTTACAAATAATAAGCAAATTATTAGAAACAAAATCATAGATTCTAACATCATAGATAACACAAAAGTTTGATTTTAATTAAAGTGATGACTGCATTTGATGTACTGATACAATTTTTTAAAAAAAATTTTGACATAAATTGCTTACATCATTTCATTAAAAAATAGTCACTTTTTTTCTTGTTTTCTGGAGTAAATTACTGACTTGACTCAATCTGACTTCCTGTATGTATAAAGAGAAAAAAGTCAATAATGTTGGTTTGATAACAGTTTTTATTTTAGGGTATTTCTCTTGGATGACTTTTAAATTCCAAAACTTAGCTTATCCATGTGTTTTGAACAAAGTTTGTGCTTGAGTATCCTCCTTCAATGCAATTATCTTTGAGCCAAATGTTAAAATCCTTTAGCAAGTGGCTTATATATAATAATAATATATCTTGTAATGCAAGGGAATTCTTGATTGTGTTGAAAGAAACAAATCAATTTTAGAATGAAAACGAAGATAAAAGTTCTAGCTTCAGTGAGATTGATAGATCTTCTTTGCAGCTTATTTTTTATAATATTGAATATTGAATGTATATTAGCCAAGTAGAATATATACATTTTTTAACTTTATTAATTATGTTACCATAGGGATGTCAATTTCAAAGAAAAATTCTATCATGATACTAAAATTGTCTATAAAACTCTGCAAACAGTTACCTTTGGAGAGCCAGTGTACTTATGTTAAAAAGAAAATTTTAATTTTGATCATTGCATTAAGTGTTTTTCCCCTTTATATTTATTTTATACGATTTCTTCCTTTTGATGGGATCTTAACTATGCCAATGAATTGCTGGTACATATTTAGCTGTTGACCCCAATCAATCCCTTGATCATCAGAAATCTTAAAAATTTGGACACTCAGGGGGCAATACGGATCCCTTTGGGAACCCTGGTATTGATGAAGACATTAAATGAAGAGGAAATCAGCACTGAAGGATACATTAGGCAGTAAGAGGCCATCAGGTATAACTAAAGACATTGATTTTTGGCAGATGACTGAATTGCTTGAACAAGTGGCCTGTGAGCTTTCTCTGCAAGTGCAGTACTAAAGCTGGTGGATGATTTAAATTTTTTAAGAGCATGCAAAGTAGGTACTTTGGCAATTGATAATTGATCTGAAGAAAAAAATTATTATTTGTCCTGACAAATAAAAACGTTCTGAAGTTAATAAAAATTTCTTTTTCCTCACTTCAAATTTGTGTCAGAAGATGAAATATGGATGTACTTCTGTGATTCGGATGCAAACAGCATTATCTTTTTTTGCAAGCCTTGCAGTATTCAAGAGCTAGCAATCTTTTTGAGATGCCAAAAAAAATTGTTCTCCTTAAATCTTTGGAATATGACAATATTCCTAGCTACATTCAAGCGCTACATTCAAACATTCCAAAAATTTTGGAATGCCATTGGGAAGAAGAAACTAAATGAGAACATGAATGCAATCCATATTTGTTCTGATAATTCAAGGACTTTTATCTCACAATCAGCAAACTAGAGTAGACAGTGATCTGTCATTCATCTTGCAAACCAGGTCTTGTGCCTTCAGATTCTATTACTTTGGTCCAATAAAGGACAACCTACGGAGACAATAATTTGCTGTTATAAACTAAGTGGCTGTAAAGAAGCAGATAAAGCAGTGCATGCTTGAATTTTTCAAAGGCCGATTTACGAGCTGAATTCAATGACAACATAATTATGTTATTTGTAATGACGATTATGTTGTAATATTTTGGTGTAGAGGAAGAACCACTTGAACTGTATGTGAAATTTGGATGATCTTTGTTGGTTAATAAAAAAATTGGGCAGACTTTTGCATTATTTGTGGCATGAACTTTGTAAGAACTTTTTGAATGAATAGAAGAAATTTATGAAAATCCTTATCTGCTTAGGGAAGAAATTATGGGCATTTTGTGTTCATTATTTGGATCAGTGATGTAATGTTATTTATTTTGAATTATGTTGTATATATACACTATGTCCATAAAATTTTCTACCCAGCCATTATTTTCATAATCATTGGTCGCGGACGTATATTTCCAGTTACAAAAATGGCTTAAATGCTTCAAAGATTTGTATTTTGGCATTTTAAATTTATTGAAATACATTTTGTAAAAATCAGGAATTCAAACTTTTTATATGTTCCTATGGTCTCTTACATTAAAAAATTTTTGCTTACATTAAGAAAAAATGTACTCGTTATAAAAATAAAATACAAAAAGTTTGACTCCCATATGACAAAACTGACAGAGATGTTTCATATCAAACATCATATTCAGGCGCTGTACACCAGTTGAAGAGTGAAATATTTACATTTGTTGTACTTAATTAAGAACAAAATTTAAGATTAGAAAAGGATTTCTGACGAAGCATTGATGAATATATTTTTCTTCAAAATGGACATCTTATTTACAGAATCTTATAGAATGCATGTTCTAGAAAACACTGGCAAGCTTCAGTGTTAACGTGTAACCAACTTGTAATATTGCGCTGCTGGCCACCGTAAATGTTCCTGACGGAAGAAGTATGCAAATAACATGAGATTTACAACATGCCTTAGTGGAGGTGAGATTGGCAAATGATTAGAATTTCAGCGTAGATGCACATCACGTGCGCCTGCGGCGGCACTTCAAAGTGCTAAGGCTTGGAGTTTCAACGATTTCAAGATTGGTAATTGTATTTTTCTAGGGGTTTAAAAAAAAAAAAGATCAATTATGCCTCGTTGTAAACAGCGATCATCTTTTGATCAATTATCTGAGTTTGACAGAGGAAGGATAGTGGCTTACCAAGAGTGTGGATTATCTTTCAGGGAAATTGGTAGTGGTGTTGGACGAAACCAAACAACTGTAATGCGGATATGTGACCGTTGGATGCAGGAGGGTACGATAGACCGATGTGTTCGATTGCATCCACCTCAGTGCACCATTTTACGTGATGACAGGAACATTGTGCACATGGCAGTGACAGATCGCTCTGTCACATCACGAACCATAGCACAGCACATTCAGTCTGTAATGCATCATCCAGTGTCTGTGCATACCATTCGACGCCATTTACAGCAGAGTGGTCTGTCCGCAAGACGTCTATTGCTTCGTCTACCCTTGACGCAGAACCACAGACGTCTCCGCTGCCAATGGTGCTATGAAAGAAGAATGTGGATGGCAGATTGGAATGAAATTGTCTTTACTGATAAGTCACACTTCTGTCTACCACGATGGTCGTATTCGAGTCTGGAGACACTGTGGAGTGAGGATGCTGAACAGCTGCATTATGCACTACCACACTGGTCCTGCACCGGGTATTATGGTATGGGGCGGTATTGGATATCACTCTTGCACTCCTCTAATACGCATTGCCAGTACTTTAAAGAGCCAGCACTACATCTCTGAGGTATTGGAGCCAGTTGTCTTCATTACCTTCAGGGCTTGTCCACAGCCATATTTCAACAGGACAGTGTGCGACCACACGTGGCACGCATTGTCCGAGGGTTATTCGTCAATCGCCAGATTGAATTGCTTCCCTGGACGTCAATCACCAGATTGAATTGCTTCCCTGGCTGGTTTAAGTTAAGCTGCCTAAAATGTAGGGTGTATTTCAGGCAGCTTAACTTGAATAACTTGGTTGTGTTGTTAGGGGTAGACACAGTTCTGTCTATAGATATCTTGTTTCAAATGTGCTTTTATAAAGTGATTATGGTTTCTTGTTTGAGCTGATTCTAATGATATTTTGTTGACATTTTCATAATTCTATTTTTATTAAATTTAGTATTTAAAGACCCTCCCCTGTTTTGAGATTTTAATTTCAGTAGACTTTATGGCATCCTTTATTTGCATGACATGCTCATCAAACTGGAAATATCTCTTAAACTTTACTTATGCTTTCTTAGCCATAAAAGATAACTGTTTTGTAAAGAAGGAAAAGTAATATATTTTTTATTTCATTTTGATTAGCTTTGTAAATCATATGTTTAAATTTTATTTCTACCAACATTATTTAAAAAACAGTTTAGTTTAGCAAGTAAGAATTTTCAGAGCTTTCCACTGTGCATCAAAATTAGCAGATTCTGTTATCACTTTTCAATTTTAACTGTTTATTTCATATATAATTGCTTCTGTAGTTTGGTTTTTCTGTAATTGATGAATTAGAAATCTTTAGAGCCTTCCACTGGGTATCAAAAATTCGCAGATTCTATCATCAGTCACCTCTTTTGACTGTTTGTTCACCATATAGTTATTTTATTTTCATAAAATGGTCTTCCGTACCTGCCAATTAATTCTCCCAGTTTTAACAGGAGACTTCTGGTTTCACATCTGTCTGCAGGTCACTGAATATCTCTGTTTTTATTTTTTAGTTAGAAAATGTTTACCTGCAATAAATAAAATTAGTTAAATTAATGAAACTTAAATTATGCAATTTCCGTCTCCTCCACCCCTACTAATTTTCAGCATAATTTTTTTTATTAAATTTTATTTGGTCTGAATTATCTGAATCTACTGTAAACATTTTCGGAACTGCTTATGAAGATTCAGCTTAGTTCCCTATGTTAGTCATCATATGGATTAGAGTGATGCTGTCACTGAATCATGATGTTGTAGGTGAGTGAAGCATAGCAAAACCAACAGCAGATTTGCTGTAGATGACTTAAGGAAATGGCAAAATGATAAAATGCCACATTGATGAAGGTAGTGTGCACAACTGTCAATGTGTCTTATCATCTGTCTATTGTACTGACCATCTGATCTATTGCTGGTTACTATGGGAGTTAAGACTGTACTTCTGATATTTATTCCACTTATTTCTGACCAGTCAGCAGGTAATTGCAGTGTGGTGAGCCAGATTAATAAGAGTTGGTGCCTACTGGGTTTAATATTTTTAATGATTGAGTGCCACATAGGTGTTGGGAGATAGGCTGTTTTAGTGCATTTATCTCTTTTTTTTTTTTTTTTTTGCATAATTTTTAGATGACTTCCATACAAGGCATTATAGTCAGGCCACATTGTTTAGTCATATCTTTTGCTAATCATACATAGCATCTTCATGGATAAGCATTTAGTATATATTAGTATATTTGGAGCTACAAAAGTATCCATAATATCCTGGAACATGTTGTAGTAGTTCAGGATGATGTTATTTTTCAGCCTAGCCACAAACAATATACCTTTTCAGTGGTTGTTTCTGTTCTGCTGACACATTCTCTTAGCCATTTAAACCACCAAGTATCTTTCGTACACAACACATTTGTGCCCTCAGATTGTGAGGAGACTAGCCATTTCTTTTCTTTCAGACTAGATGTAGCCCTATAACTAATTGATTTACTAATTTTGTGAAGTCCCCTTTTTTTTTGAAATTTTATTTTAGAATTGCAGTTTTTTTCTTTCCTGTATGTACTATGCATACTAAATGTGATCTCATTTACATCATTCATTCCAAGTGCTTTGATTTTATCTTTCTTTCTTCCTTTAAGTGAAAAGATTGTGTATTTAACATATTGATCCATTGTTACTTTCACATGTTTAAATGCCCTTTTCTTTAATTTGTTTTTAGAGCATTTCTTGCAGCGCTTCTACTGCTAATCTGGGATTGCATGATTCAGCTGGTGAATCCTTAGCTGAGTGTCAAGAACAAGATTTAGAACTTATTGATGCAGACTTGGAAGACTTGGTACCTCTTGTATATTGTATTTGATAGCTTTTAGTTATTTTTAAAATAAAGTAACAGTACTGCTAAAAAGGTTTTCAAATTCAGATGCTTAGCCAGTTATTAGCCAAATCTGTAAGGAATAAACTGTGTATAGATATTTTTTAATTTATCATTTTTGTTGTTATTATTTTTTAAAATTTGATAGAGAATTAGAATTACAAATATTATATCTGGTTGTAATTTAAAAATATATAGTTTTTCAATTAACTTATATTTGCTAATTGAAATTTCATTTGAATGTATTTGATTTAAATTCACCTTTGAATTTCAGCAGTTTTTAAAGCTTTCTGTATATGAAGTGTATTCCTAATATGTGATATTTATTGCAATATTTTGTAAAGTATTTTATATCTTTAATCCGAAAATTTATTTTGTAGCCATTAAAATATAAAGAATAAAACAATTTATGAACAAAGGTAAAAAAAAAAAAAGTAATGAAATAATTTCTGGCTTGGATATAGGCATGTCTCATGTTACTGTGTTTCCTAAAATTTTTAGCATTGTGATATGTTTGTATATAATTACAATTATCATGATCCACGTACATGTATTGCTCTGAAGAAAAAGGTAGAGAGTTAGGTTCTGAAAGAATATTATGTAAAATGAAATTATAATTTCTAGGAAAATTATTTAATACTTGGAAATATATATTCTTACGAATTTGGTATTTAGATAGATAATTTTATTAGAATTGTAATTAAAATTGTTGTATGCAGTGCATTTTAAGAGAAAGCTCTGCTGGAAAAGTACAAATACAGGGGCATGTGCATTAAACTTTGAATAAATGTTCATTTTTATTGAAATTGAATAAATGTTTTTGACCGCTATGTTAGGGTTAACTGTAATTATTGCTTTCCAGAAATCTCGACAAGCAGAAATTGTTAGAAATACCTGGCGACCAGTTGAAATCTATAAAGTCCAGAATGAGAACGTTTGAGTCAGTTGCTTAGTTACTGTTGTTGTGAATTGTAGTTCTGCATGAAATGAGATAATCTACATATTGACTAGCTTTCTCTTTATACATATACATTATAGTGCATTGTATTTTAACGTTTTTAGTAATTTGAAGTATAACTTCTGATTATATTATGTGATATTGTGAATACGAATATCTCTAAGGGAAATTTTCAGTTTTGATATATTTCTTTTAATAAGAATAAATTTTATTAACCTATTCTTGAATTTGTGCATTCAATCTATTATGAACCCATACACACCCATCCACTTCTTATAAGAAGTGGGTTTGAATGCCAGTGACAAGAGCGATGGAGGAACAGTTAAGGAACATGGTGGCAGCCTTTGTTCTGTTCAAAGAAGGGGTAAAAGATGGCGAAGAATCCGTTAAAAAAGAGATGAAATTGGTTCAAAAAAGGTGAAAGTATCTGTTAATCAAGTATCTATTAAAGACAAAATGAAAGCTGTTCAAGAAAAAATTGAAGCAGGTGAAGAGGAATTGAAAAGAGAAACCATTTGCTTAATAGAAAACAAATTCGATGCTATGGAAGGCAGAATTGACGCAATTGAAAATAAAGCTGGATTGAAGAAAGAGTTTCTTCTGTAAAAGAACAAATAGAAGGGAGAGTTTATGTCATGGAACAACAAATTGCCGACAGTTCTGTGGTCGCCAAAGAAGTCGATACTTTTAAAGAAATTTGTAGTGATGGCAGGGAGCAATAGTAATGGTTTTAGATTATTTACCCATGCCTACTTGTCCCTCTCTGAAGCTATCTATGTATGATGGGATGACTTCCTAGAAAGTGTATAAGAGAGAATTTTCTATAGGGGCAGACGCAAATAGATGGGATTCCCAAATTAAGGCTGTTATCTCGCCGCTTCTCTGAGAGCTGGTATTGCGGATATTTTTCAAACACTACCAGAGACTAGACCAGAAACCAGAGACTAGACTTTGAAGTTGCACTTCAAAGATTAAAAAGATTACAGCTGGCTTCAATAAAAATCCCATCTATATAAGCCCATGGAAACACTTCAGGAACTTGCCACGGATGTTGAAAGTTGTTTCATCTCGTCTTTTCGGAATGCCTGACAGAAACAAGAGAAATCCTGTCCTTGCAGTGCTTCATTGATGGCATCTAGGGTCCTGAACTGCAGAAAGCTCTGCAAATAGTGGAAGTAAAGGACTTAAAAAGCACTCTAGTGTATGCCATGAAATTAGAGGTAGCTCAGCAAGTAACTCATGGAGACCAACACCCAATTAGAGCACACGTCCAAGAACCTGTGGATCGAATGGCTGACCACCTAGATGATTTAACCAGATAAGTCAATAATTTGAGATGGAATAAGAGTTACAAGAAACCAACCATAAAGTGTTGGAACAGCTGTGCTGAAGGCCACATATGACAAAACTGCAGAACACCCGAGGAAACGGAAGTTAAGACCGCACTTATAAAGAAGGAGGGGAAACTAATTAGTGGCCATCTCGCGGGGCAGAGTTTCCCAGATAATGAGAAACCCCAGTTAAAAGCACTTCGGATTTCTGCAGTGAGTGGCTTCAGTAATGGATTTTTCATCATGAGACATATCAGTGGAGTTCCTTGCAATATGACCATTACTACAGGAGGCAATGTTACCATCATTCAAAAAAATTTGGCTCAATAATTTAAAAGTAAAATTATCTAATTTAAAAGTAAATTTATCTGTACGCCACCCTGCATTACCCTCCATACGGTGTTCAGTGATAAAATCAGCATTGACGGAAAATTAAACGTTAACATCACATTTAGAAGTGCCCCCTAACACCACATGACATATATGGCACATATTACAGAACCTTGCATACTCAGATTGGACTTTCTAAGGAGATACAATTTTGCCCTGGACTTTAAAAATAACTGATTGCATTCTGCATCTGAGAAATAGCCCTATTCAGAATTAATGATGGAGTTAAATGTGTCCACAAAATAATAGCTCCAAACGATATCATAGTACAGTAGAAGTCCAAAAATCTGCAAAGCTTGGGACCAGAGGTTGTGCGGATTTTAGGATTTTGCGAATTTCAGGACAGAAAAGATAAAGCATAATATTCAGACTTAAAAGTGCAAAATTAATAAGGTGTATTAAATACATTTAATTAAATTATTATATACATTATTGCAATATTATATGCATTAAATTATCGCATTTATTATATGCAAATATATAAAAAGTTTATTATATGCATTTATTATATGCAAATATATAAATTGATTATATCATTCATTGTATTATATGTACACAGCATCGTGCCGATTTTGCCTCATGCAAAAATTTCCGATTTTGGATTCTGGTATTAGAATTACTGTTGCTGTAAAATTCCAACAGCTTTTCTTTATTTTTGCATATATCATACAGAGTCGTATCGCAATTCCATACGATTCTGCTATAAAATGCACTTATCTCCATCTTTTGTAGAATTTGCACATTTTGCCTTACCGTCAATGCAACGTGTTTACGTTTTTCAACATTGCAAGCAGTAAAATCATGAGTGCGTTTCTTATCTGTCGTTGTATTAAAAAGGGTTGAAATTTAAAATATTCTTAATTGATCCACAAAATATCTGGATAAAAAAAGGCAGCACTAAAAAATCTCGTGAAATAGCAAAAAACAGAAAATACAACAACGTGAACTTGAACGAAGAGTTGAGTGAATCGTCTGCTTTTTTCATCGATGAAGGTTAGAGGAGAAAAAACTTTTATTTATTTTATATTTTTTTAAAAATTTTTTTATGTCAATAATTTGATATTTCCATTATGATTATCATTATTATTCGGTAATTATGACATCATTATTCGGTAAGTATTTTTTCTTCGATATTTCGTACTCAATGTTGCGGTTTCCGGAACCTATAAACTGAATGTTTATATTTTGAGAGGCAACGCGGATTTCAGATTGGTGGATTTTCGATATTTGACTGTACCAGCAAGAACCAAATTTTTAATTACTGGATCCGGAAATAGAAATTTTCGCTACAGCATCTTAGAATATACCAAGAATTGTAACAGCCAGAAAGATGTAAAGTAGAAAGAAAAGTAATCTCAGCATTCGTTGACCTATTGAGAACCGTTATCCTGGTGAGAGATGCCAATGTAACTGACGAGCCAAGAGTTATTAAGAAAGGTGAAGTGGTTGCAGTGTGTACTCCAGTGACGAGTGTTAAACGAAGCAATAACATCCCAGAATCCATGTCTTCAAAGAGCATTATATCGAAGTTATTGCAGAATGCACAATTAAACGAAGAAGAGAGGAATGCTGCCAAACGTGTCATTCAGGAATTTCAAGATGTTTTCTCCTGCTCATCTTCTGATATGGGTTGAACCAATTTGACACAGCATGGAATTGATACTGGGGTTCATCCGTCAATTAAGCAACATCCAAGACATTTACCAATTGTTAACAGAAAAAGGTAGGAAAACTTCTAAAGGGCATACAAGATAGCGACATCGTCGAGCCTTCAACAAGTCCATGGGCATCTCCCATCATCATGGTAAAAAAGAAAGATGGTTCAACTAGATTTTGCGTTGATTACTGCCGGTTGAATGAGGTTACGAAGAAAGACAGCTATCCTCTTAATAGAATTGATGACATTCTGGACACACTCTCTGGAAGCAAGGGGTTTTTGACACTTGATTTAAAGAGTGGATATTAGCAGATCGAGATACATCCTGATCATGAAAAGACTGCTTTTACTACCAAACAAGGACTTTCAAGGTGATGTCGTTTGGATGTAATGCAACATTCGAATGATTTATGGAGACTTTGTTGAGAGGTCCTTCCTAGAAAGCCTGTCTGATGTACCTTGGATGACATCCTTCTTGGGAAGAATTTTGAAGAACATCTAAAAAATCATTTAGAAAGGTACTTCAGAAACTGAAAAAAGCCAATCTAAACTTCAATCAGTCTCACCAAATGTAAATTATTCAGGCAGGAAATAACTTACTTCAGACATGTCATCTTTGCTGAAGGTG